TGAGCAACAAAAACATATTAGAGAAGGGCAAAAGGAAGTCAGAGAGAAGTTTGAAGAGATTGAGTTTCAATGTGATGAACTCAAAAAGGAAACGTTCCTGATATCACAACAAGCTGCAAGCAATCAGAAGCGCCTAAATCTCATGTTCAAAATTTTGAAAGCACGAGATGAGAACAATTTTCATGAAGCTGCCAGTCTTACCCAGTCTCTTCGGTTAGCTTCACCTAAATCTTTCTTTAGTTTCGCTAACAAAATCCCTGTGACTTTGGTTGAATGCATGCATGGGATGGCTAATTGGTCCCCTTAAGTTTACGTATATCTTTGTCTGGGAAATACAAGTGGCTTTAAAGCTAATTTTGAGTATTCGATCAGGGTATTTCTTTTCAAGGATTCTTGGCCGGGACTAATCCTCCTATATCCTAGCATTTACAGCCCCATGGTAGATGAGTTTCATGTCAGATAGATGGTCTACCCTTGAACTCTCTCCTGGTGGAGAAAACACCAGGCTTGCTGTTGCCAACAGGGGGCTCAACTTTCTATTAGGCAATCCATTGACGCATCAGAATAGATCAGAAAAATGGCCTGGGAAGGGGGGAATTGAGATTTTGACTTGAAAATAGAGGAAATATATAGGTGATCTTTTTATACAATCATTTCATTCGTAGGCAGAACGTACTGAATTTACTACTTGGATTGACCACCTAGAAAATTAGCATGTCTTCATATTAGAGAATAAGTTGTTTGATTTCAAAGTAGAGAAAACAATCCATGCCTGTCTGCGAGAGCGTTACTGCTATAATCACCCTGACATCAAATTGGCAAACAAGGAAATTAAAATTTTCAACTGTTAGAACCATCTTTTGAATAGTCCATGCACTCTCACCTGCATGGCCGACAACTCCTAGAATGAACTGCAAACTACAAATCGGATATGCTTGAATGATCATGAGCCTGCAAACCAGAGTGATTGTTAGTGCCCCCTATCTCCTCTGGTTCTATATATGCCATCTGATGTTAAAACATATTAACTGTTTATTTAATTATATAGGAGAGGTTCGATCTCGAGTTCTCTTGGGAGAGGTGGGACGCTAATGTCTGCTAGGCTACAGCTTGTTGGGACATTTTTTGTTATTAAAAAACAATTCAGCACTCGAGTTCTCTTGGGAGGGCTCGGGGGACGCTAATGTCTGCTAGGCTACAACTTGTTGGCACATTTTTTGTTATTAAAAAACAATTCAGCCAAATCTCTAGATGCAGCAGATGTAGAAGCGACTTTTTGTATGTTTGATTTTCGAAGCATACAATCCTCAGTCTTTCTCCTTTATTTTTGCCAGAGAATGCATGAGAAGCAAATCACAGAGCAATACTCAAGTGGTTGTGGATGCGAGTGGCACAGTTGGAAAAGAATAACAGGAATCAGCCATGCATGAAATCCAAGATCACTGGAAATGGCTTTATGGGTGTGTTTTCAATAATTTGGCTTGTCATGTAAGTAACTGTTGGAGTGTTAAGATCAATAGCTTTCAACTGTTAGTTTGTTTTAAAATTAATGTTGAATCTGCTACTTTGATTGTTGCAAACGCTTATGTTGAGTCTGGCTTTGCTTATTAGCTACTGGAATGGCCTAAAAGTTAATAATCTCTTTTACTATGGTAGGCAAGGAGAAATCTTTCTGGATATGAATGCTTCCAATAAGCTGTTTCCGCAAACCTGTTTTTCGCAATCAGCTTCCGGATTGCTAATGCTCTGCAATCAGT